AACGAGTTTCATGCATAATATGATAACGCACCCTCTTCCCCGACACAAACATCTTCATCTAAAGGAGACTCATTTTTTAAATCAACATTTGACAATCTTATGAGAACAAGTAAATCAACTCCCATTGTTGAACAAAGCTCAGTCAACGAACTTTCTTTGTATCTAACATTTCCTATTGATTTTGAAGAAGATGATGACTTTGACGTTCTAAAGTGTGGTCGAAAGATAAAAATAGAACGTTCCCGATTTTATCAAAGATGACTAAGCAAGTGCTATCCATGCCGGTTTTAGGGGTGGATTCGGTTCGGGCCACCCAACCCGTGACCCGGCCCGGCCCACTATTGTGCGGGCCCGGGACCGGCCCGGTCTGGCGGTCCGGGACCAGGTGTAGACCCGAACCGGTGGGGATGGGCGGGGCGGGCTCGGTTCCGGAAATAGTTGACCCGGCCCGGCCAGGTCGGGCCCTGGTCCGGGTCCAACGGTCACTTTTTTAAAAAAAAAATTGTTTTGGGCCAAAATAGCCGTTGGGGGGTGGGCTGCAGTGGCGGCCCGAGGGGTTTGGGGGGTGGGGGGTGATGTAAAAAAACCTATAAATACTCCTAATCTAAAACATTTTTTTATATCTCTTCTCCGATTCTTCCTAAATCCTATTCTTAACTCTCTACTCTCTAATTCTCTTATTCTCCAATATATTATATTTATTATTTATATATCTACTTTTTATTAATTATCTACTTTTAATTTATAAATACATACATTATAATATTATATTACTTATATTTGTTATCTAATTATATATTACTTATACATTTATTATATCTATTAATATAGTTGGAATTATATCTAATTAATTTGAAGTCATTCTATTACTCCCATCCGAAAGACCGAAAGTCTGAAAGAGGTACGAAATCATTCTATTATTTACACTTGTTTAATAGTTAAAGTGAAACTATAGTAATTTGATTGTTAGTAAAAAAAAAAAGGTTGTACACAAAACTAGTTAATTCACTAGTTAATTTGATTAAAGTAAACTTTAAAATACTAATTTGCTATAACTCGAATTAATAGTTAGATTAATAGTTAATTACTTTATTACAATTTTTAATTAATTGCTACATTTCACTCTAGTTTAAAAAACTAGTTAATTCTCATTATAGTTAAAGTTAAAGTATATTAATTTCATTGTTAGTAAAAAAATAGGCTTTACACAAAACTAGTTAATTTGATTAAAGTAAACTTTAAAATACTAATTTACTATAACTCGAATTAATAGTTTTATTAATCGTTAATTACTTTATTACAATTTTTTATTAATTGCTACATTTTTGAATTGATTCTTTGGAAGAATGTTTGAATTATTATTATGATGCTTTTTTGGTCCATTGCCAATGTATGAGGACAACCCAATTGATCCGAAAAAAGAATACAGCGAGGTCAGTGATATATTTTATGCATTATTTAATGAGTTTCATGCACAATATGGCACTGCATCCCCTCCCCCGACACACACATCATCTAAAGGAAAATCAATTTTCAAATCTACATTTGCCAATCTTATTTAAAAACGAAATCAACTCCCGCTACGCAACAAAGCACAATTAATGAAATTTCTTTGTATTTAACATATGATATTGATTTTGAAGAAGATGGTGATTTTGACGTACTAAACTGGTGGAAGGGAAAAGAAAGAATGTTCCCGGTTTAGCAAAGATGGCTAAGCAAGTGCTATCAATGCTGGTTTCAACGGTTGCCGTGGAACAAGAATTTAGTTCGGCCGGCAATGTCCTAACACAATGTAGAACGAGGTTGAGCACAGAATCTCTTGAGATGCTTATATGCTACCACGATTGGTTGAAAGCGGCCCGTAGAGCTCAAGAAATTGACATCACCACATCCTAACACTTTATGAATGAATCTACAATCGAGGATGGCTCTACCTATGCCGGAGATTCCTTTTGAATGATTGATTAGTATTTCATATTTTAATTTTACCTTCAATTCTCAATTGTAACTTGTAAACTTGTAGTTCATATTTCAAATAAATAATACATTCATTTTTTTATATGTAGCATTTTTTTTGAATTCATAAAATTAATTAATTAATTTTACATTATGTAATTTATTCAAAATAAAACCTACAAAAAAAAAATTGAAATCAAAATTCAAAAGCCCCAAACGGCTCTATTGAAATTTGAATCAATAGAGGCATAGAGCCGTTGGGGGTGGGGGTGGGTGGGGATATAAAAAATTCTATAAATACTCTTATTTTCTAACATTTTTATACACATCTTCTCCAACATCCAATCTCTAATCTCCATTCTCCAATCTCCATCTTCATCTATTGGAGAATTATTATATCTACCATTTTAAGATGGAAAGTCAAGATGCGTTATACGGTATAATTTTGATAAGCAGAAGGACCCGAAGACCGGAATGTGGTACGCAACTTGCAAATGGTGCGGGAAAAAATGTAGCATGGAGGTTTCAGGCGGATACGGGATGACAATGAAGCATATTAAGTCATGTGACAAAGCTAAAGGATCGGAAGGTGCGGAAAGTTCCGATTGATTACAATTTACAAAATATATGTCTCTTGAAGTTTGTTTTAATTTTCAAATGTAGTTCCTATTTCATTTCAAATAAATGCACTTGAAGTTTGTTTTTAATACTTGTATAAAACTATAAAGTATAAATTATTTAAAAAAAATTACTTTAACCGGCCCAGCCCGGCGGGTGGCCCAAACCGTGACCCAGGTGGGGGCCCGGCCCGAACCGGACCCGTCCAACCCTCGGCCCGGTCCCGGGTCCATGTGATACAAACCGGTGGCCCGACCGGGCCTAGGCCCGGCCCTAGTCCACCTCTAGCCAGTTTCAACAGTTTCCGTGGAACAAGAATTCAACGCGCCCGACAACGTTCTAACGGATTATAGAACGAGATTGAGCACAAGCTCTCTTAAGACACTTGTTAGCTACCCCATGATTGGTTGAAGGCCCAACGTAGAACTCAAGAACTTAGCATCACCCCTCACCCAACACTTTATGGAGGAAACAACAACTGACAGTGGCAGAGATTCCGATTGATTATTTGATTATTATTTATCACTTTACACCTCATGTTTTAATTTTTTACCTAATTCTCAATTGTAGACTTGTAATTCATATATCAAATAATATACGTTCAGATTTTTGTATGTAGCACTTCGTAATTTAATTTGTTAAACTTAAAAAAAAGGCACGACCCGACCCGGCCCGCTACCCGGGCAGGTAGCCCAGCCCGAACCGGTACCGCCGATGATCCAGGCTGGTCCCGAGCTCCCTTCCCAAAACCAAAAGCCTGGCCAGGTCCGGTCCATCACTATGCAACGCTGGCTAATAGTTACGTAATGCTCCTTATTTGATTAAAAATATTCTAATGGGCCTAGGTCTAATATTATGTTAACAAAAAATGAGGGCCCTCATAAAAATGGCCCCGATGCAATTGTACTACTTGCACCTGGGTTGGGCCGGGCCTGATCATCACAATTATCAACAAATACCGCATTATATTATTTATTGATCCAAATTATTTCTCAAATGTACTCAAATTACTTTATTTAGGGTAACTTTAAGAGCCCGTTTGGTAGCACGAAAATCGGCTGTTTTGGCTGATTCTGCTGAAATTTATGAAGCTCTGGCTGAAGTGGCTGTTTTGGCTGATTCTGTTGATTCAAGAAAAAAATATTTTAAAAATATATTTTATTAATAAATTAAAGAAAAAATTACATGTAAAAATAGCTAAAATGGTCCTCTGCAGTAACTTCAGCCAATACAGCCAGAAAAGTAACTCCAACCTTACTTTTTCTGCTTATTACACAATTCATCACACGGAAGTAAAAGTTACGTGTTTGGTGAAAAAGCTGGATGATAAGCCTGATAAGCCGAAAAAAGTGGTCTCCAAACGGGCTCTAAACCGGGACAAAGGTCATACTTTTAAAACAAGTTCATCTTTTTAAATTCAAAAAGTTCTGGACAAAGTGATTACCAACTTACCATAAAAGACATGAAATTCCAAGATAAATATTTTTTGAAATGTTATTTTATAATATACTCGAAAATAAAACCCCTTTAAAATTAAAATCCTACAATGAGTTTTCTTAGGAAAAAATAATTCAAATACTCCAAACTTTCAACGAGTGTGAGGTCAATAATCCAAACTTGCATATATGATTTAAATACTTTAAGTTTATATAAAAAAGTAATGTTAGCACGATAATCATATGATTTCCTTTCACAAATGTAAATGTAAATTTATGGTGTCAAATAAATAATTTAAATACATTTATCATGTATAATCATATTGCTAAAATAACTTTTTATATAAAGTTCAGAGTATAAATATTATATATACAAGTTTAGAATATTTACTTCACACCTTTTCAAAGTTTGAGGTATATTTAAATCATTTTTCTCTTTTTCTTATCTACACAATTGCATTACATTTTAGCAGGAACGGATCCAGGAAGTCACAATTGGATGGGCGGGGAAAAAAATTGAAATACACATACCAATAATAAGTGAAGTCATCGACACTTTAAATATTCATCAAAACATCATTTAATAGAATCTACATCTATTAAATGTCTTTTAACGACGACTTTAAAAGGTTGTCATTAAAAGTTTCTTTTAACATTGAATAATGAGTTCATGTGTTATTAAATTTTATCTTTAACGACCATAACAAAAAATAGTTGTTACTAGTTAATTGTTTTCTGATATATATAATACTTAAATTGAGAAAGAAAACCAATTCATTCAAATAAAAAGATTAATTATAATATTTCAGTGTGCCGCCAAAAATTTTAACTCCTAAAATTTTCGTTCGCTAGTCCAAAAATATTTCAGTGTGCCTATAGCTTCACAAGCATCATGTTCAAGCCAACTAATGAAAAGTATTAATTGATGGTTATTTATGTATGTAACAATGGTCATATAACTTCATAAGAGAGTTAAGAAATTCATGGGTGCCACAAGTAACCATCTCGATTAGCTGTACGGAAACATGAGGATTAAATTGATAAGAGAGACACCATTGCAACAATATGAGAGCATTGGCTCACATCAGGAAGGTTACTTTGTTTTGATGCAAAAAGCTTCCAAATTACTCCATACTTTTATGGAAGTTCAGAAATGAGGGGATAAATATTACCAGGCTCGACCATTTTAGTGCACTTCTTTTCAACCCTAAACATGAGAAAATACTAATAGCAAAAAACTTAATACTAGCATCAGAATTTTTCTGAGAACGACAGCATTGCATTGCATGTTTGGTTTTTCAAAGTTGAAAAATACTAATCCACACCCAAAAAAGAACAGACATCTACGAAGTTACCTCTTCCTAGAGAGCAGCATCAAACAAAAACCTGGCCTGCAGTGCTACCAAATCTGCAACCTTCACACAATGTGCGGCATGTTCTTCCCTTAGCTTGACCCATTTCTCCTCAATCTCAACAGCCTGGGTTCTCTCGATCAGATTGACTTTTTCCTTCAGCATATCTATTGTCTCCTGAGTACTGAATGAATAGTTTTCCTTATTGAAAGATCTAACCAAGCAAGGATATTTGGATTGAAAATCCCCTGTCTCGTTCTTAGCTTCACCATTCATTACATTTTTCAGAGAAGCCTGGTTAAGATTTTCATTAGCAGAAGGCTGGCTGTTTTTTCCCTCGGAGGCAGAGTGGTTGTGTTTATTACCCTTAGCAGAAGGAGCAGGAGCAGGCTGGCTGTTTTTTTCCTTGGAGGCAGAGTAGCGGTTGTCTTTACCATCAGCAGCAGTTTGGTTGGCTTTTGCATTAGAGCCAGAGTGGTTGTCATTACCCTTTGGAGAAGCAGTCGGATTGCCTTTTCCATTAGCAGCTGTCTGTTTATCTTTTTCAGCAATGGAAATTTGTTCGTGATTTTTCTCACCAGTAGTTTTTTCAACTTCTTCCTCTGGGTGAGTCTTCCGCTTCTTTCTCTTCTTCTTCTTCTTTTCTTTGTGGTCATGTGCAGTTGTCTTCTTATCACTTGCTGCTTTTGGTGCATCCATAATGTTGGTAGTTTCAGTAGTCTTTTTAGAGTTGCTTACCTGGTTCACCTCCCCGCTGGCAAATTTTGCCTCTGGTTTGGCAAAATCACTAGCAACACCCGGGCTTTTAGCATTGATGCTGCTCGCAGTTCCCCAAATCTTTGCTAAAAGTTCATAAACCTGACACTCATAAGGCTGAGCAGATGTAGGGAGGTCTCCCTTCTTACTAAGGGTCAAGAACTTCCTGTGAAGCCCCCTAATCTTAGCTCCGATCTGAGTCTTGGAAAACGACCCGTGCAATTTATCCATAACGAAGTCCTTGAAAGCGGCATAATCCGCACTAGGATCAGTCCCTCTTTGGGCCTTAAAGTCAATCATACCTTGGAGAATAGCAACCTGATCATCGTCATTCCACACACGGTTGTGCGGCGCAGACTTCTTTTGTTCGCTAGGAACGTCTGCTTCCCCAGATATGTTTTTCTTCTTCTTCCTGGGTTCTTCTTCCCCTACGGCATGCAAAGCACGCTTTGGAGATCCAGGAAGCTTTGGGGTGAGATTGGGCTCGTCGGAGGCTTCCGGAGACTTTTTCTTGAAACCTGGAGGTGCACGTTTTCTTTTTCCCGGGTTCTTTTCCCCTTGAGAGGCTAGTGGTTCAGACTGGTGAATTTTCTTGTTTGGGTCTGCGGAGGTGGGCTGAACTAGTAGTGTAAGACGGGATTTGGGTGCCATGGCTTTGGAAGGGAACTCTGAAAGTGTGGGATGCCATTGATATCACGCAAGCAAATACGCCTATAATCACATAGACGTACAAATACGGTCGGTGCTATGAAATAGTGCTGGTTTGGAGTGTTACAGCCAGGGAAGATTGCTCATCAGTTGCAGTGTTCAATCACATCATGCTTTCTTATCTTTCAACTCCTTCATCTATACCGTAAAAGACTTTGTGCATTTGACCGTAAAATAATACTCCTCCTAATCCGCAAAGGTAGCTCAGTTGGTCGCGTGGCGGGATATTTGGATCAATGAACCAAGGTTCGAATACCCGCAGCGACCGCGTGAAGGTTACATAACTTGAAATAAGATTGGACCTCTGGTGCGCACGAGTGTATGAGCCTATTGTCATTCTACTGACTGAGTCACCGTGACTAACCTCCCTACCATCCTGTCGGGTTGGGGTGGGGGCTCCTAGGGTGGGAGATTCCACCTTTTTTGGATCAATAATACTCCTCCTAAATGGATTTGCAAATTTTACTTTTCTTAGTCAAACAGTTTCATTTTATTCGCTTAATTAGGATGTCAATTTTTAATTATATTCTAATTTACAACTTTGAAGAGATTTTAATGTAGATTATGAATATATAAATTTTACTCCCTCCGTCCCACAATGAACTTCACAGTTTGACCTACACATATTAAGGAAATAAACTTACCATGGGATAAATTTTACTGTTTTGACCCTGTTTTGACACTGTTTGGCACTGTTGTGTACTGTTTCGACACTGTTTGGCACTGTTTTGCATTGTTTGACATTGTTTTGATGTAGATTAACTTGCCATTTAAGGAAATGAGAACTTGTTTCTGGGACATCCAAAAAAGGAAAGTGAGAAGTTCATTGCGGGACGGAGGGAGTAATTTTTAAATATTAAATTAATTATCAATATGGACGATTGACTTTTATTATTGGTTTACCAAAATATGTTGACTTTGCAAACAATTGGGGACGGGGTAATTTGGAACCAAGAACAGAAAAAATGTTGGAACCGAACCGTTAAAATCCAATTCAGTTCCGTTCTTACACATGAGTAATAAATTGTTAACGGTTCGATTCTTATTCTTTGTTAATGGTTCAATTTTTAGTTCCTACAAAAAATATGTCCATGAAACCATTAATAAACCGTTACTAAAAAAATTGAAAGTATACAATGTAATAATAATAGTAACAATAATAATAATATTAACATTAATAATAATAGTAACAATAACGTTAATATTAACATTAATAATAACAATAGTATAGTAATAATAATAATATCGAGGATGTTACATTAACCTCGTTTTTTTTAATGAATTCGTGTTGGTTCGACATATTTTTTTTATAATATTCAAGATGAGTGTAATTGTGAGATTTAGTATAAACAATGCTTCTTGGATTTGAAATGTAATAATGTTTATAATGTGCTTGTGTATTCAATATGTTTTTTACGTTTTGAGGAACTTTAACTAGACATCTTATTCTATTATAATGACCCAACTTTTATTGATATCAAACAACAACGATTTTCATATTTTATTTACAAATAAAATTCAAAAATTATTTCATTCTATCAAGTGTTATGCTTCGTATAAATTAAGTTTGGACTTGACGTTTCAAGTGATAAGAGATTCAAAAAGTACCTAATTATTGCTTGTGTTTTAAATTTTCGACGTTTTTGCGTTATAGAAAGTAAATTGTGTTAATTTTTTTATAGGAAAAAAAAATTATGCTTAGGAACTGATAAAAGTAAGAACCGAACCGTTTACTGTTGGTTTGTGATAAGTCCGTATTTAGACACGCATTTGATACATGTTTAAGTCGACTTTTGATGGTTTCCCTAATTATTTTGTGTCACAAGTCTCATTTTTAGCTCAAGTCATAGTTACCGGGTGTTGGTTCGAGTTTTGTGTTATTTGGAGTCAAAATCAGGAATTTAGAGTCTGACATTGACGCTTGAGAAGCAATCAGGACGATTTGAGAAACATTCGAGAGTGAATTGAGAGATTGGGAGGTCACCGGGATGTTCACAATGAAGATTTGAAGACAAGAGCTCTAGGATAGGCTACGGGATCAAAAGAAGACAAATAGAGCTTGAAAACGACGTTCAGAATTACCTTATGTCAATCGTTCAATCATATCTCTTCGTAGAAGCATCCAAAGAACACTATTCAAGTTGAATATGAAAGCCAACTTCAAGTGCTACGAATCATATGAAGACACCATTGCGTGAATAGGAGAGGAAGAAGGTGGAAACAGGCGATGAAGTCAGATGATCCCTGTTGCGATTTCAGAATGAGACCTTCCACCATTTTATTCATATCTCTTGATTGGATGATTGAAATCCGATTCGGCAAAATTTGGTGGATATGAACTTCATTATCTACAACTTGCATGAAGGAAGATTTGTCAAATTCGGACTAGAGAGACGGTGACAAACAGGAATAGAGAAACGGTGAAAAACCTTATCCTAGTTCGACCAGAACTCGAATTTCTTCCCTTTTTCTATAAATAAGGCCTTCCTAACCCTATTTTGGGGGGATGGAACTTAGAGAGAAGCAATAGCACGAAATTTTGAGAGGTTTGTAGTCTTGTTCTTCAATTCATTGCCATTAATTGTAAGTTCCTACTTTTTAATTGACAATTATTTTTATTCTTCCCAATTCTATTGATTTTCAATTATGAGTTGGAAGTAGTTTTAATTAGGGATTTAGGATGGATAAAGGGGTTAATCATGATGTATGGCTAGATTTTTGATGGCTTAATTGCATGAATGTCGTTTAATTTGTGTTTGAACAATTTAATTGCTATCTTTTGTAACCTGGAACCGCGGCTAGACTTACAATTGCTAGTAGAATAAATTAAGAGATATCTAGTTTATTCTAAGACACCTTCACACCCCCTTAATCATTCGCCAAGAGATTAGTAACGATTAAGGGGCCGTAAGCTCGCTCGTTTTGGCAATAATTTAGGATCTTGTCGCATGAGAGATGAGTTGGTCCCCTAAAGTATTGTACTCTACGCCGCGAGAGTGGTAAGAACTTAGTATTGATTAGCTAGGCTCAATTAAATTAATTTCATGTAATTAAGCCTGATCTGCCAGAAATCTGATTACCCCGGAATCAATCCCTGTTCCCTTCGTCATTAATCAAGAAGAACCCAAACATTTATTTTTATTCGCTCATTCGCATTAATTTATTTTCCAAACCACCCAATCTCGCACAATTGCATTTTATTTTATTTTTGTTCTTTTTAATCGCTGAATTTAGGTAATCCTTAATTCCCTTTTACCGTCACTGTGGAGACAATACTCGTACTTACACCACTATTCTACGATCTATTTTAATTGCGAGAAAACTCACATCAGTTTTTGGCGCCGTTGCCAGGGACAGTTTCGGTTTTAAGGGTTAATTAATTTCAGCGATGTTTTTTTAGTTAGTTTTTGGTTTTATTTTCCGTAGGATTTTTCTGTTATAACCTTTCAGATATTTTTCTAAGAGGCATGAGATGAACCCATTCAGCAAAATTCCAGGAGGAATTCCTTAGCCTCAAACCTCCATGGAATATTCATCATATACGCCAGACCCTCCTTACACTCCTCCTCAATATTACACTCCTATTCTTACCCTCATCCAAATACGCAACATTCCCAATGTCATTCCCCTCATTATCCTTATCCACAATATCCTAGGGCAAGACCAGGCATCATGCTTTATTATCTTGTTAAAAATAAAAGACCCGAGGAATTGGCTGATTGCTTTCCTGAAAATAGCATTTGTTCCTTTTGTGGAGGAGGTCACCATTTATGTCTTTGCCCCATTGCTCCAAATGACCATCCTTATTGGGCAACAGCATACCCCACTTCTTCCTTCCCACAATTTACAAACACAAATGTTTCAGCCACTCCAATATCCTTGCCGAATAATGAGCCACATAATCAATTTAAGGAGAAAATTTGAGAGAGACTGTCTGACTTGGAAGAGACACTCATGCAGCTCACAACCAAAATGCAGAATCTAATCAATGTTGTGAGTCAACCGACAGAAGCCCAACTTGAGGAGACCAATATGGATGATCATCGCATTGAGTCAAACTGCGAATGTGGGAGTATGACGGATGATACACTTCATGATGCTTTTGAAGACCCACCTATGCTTGAAGATGAACAGGAAGATAGTAGCGTGAAGTTGTTTTCCAAGAATACATGCAAAAGTTTCAACATGTACAAGCTGTAACTAATGAAGTCACACATCACTGTGATTTTCATACAGAAACTCCTCAGCCGTTTGATTTACCATTGGTCTCAACACGTGATGAGGGCATGATGCAAATCAGTCATGAGGATGGTGCTACTGAGGTAGGTTTGGGTATTGAAAATGAGTTGGGAAAAGATGATCACACCACTAGTACAAAAAAGACTTTTCACATCGGTCAAAAAAGTCTTTTCACATCGATCAAACAGTCGATGTGGTTCCAGCCCATGTGAAAAGTATTGACTTTTCACATCGGTCAAACAATCGATGTGGAAATTCTTTCTACATCGGTCGTTTAGTGCCCGATCTAGAAGATAGTTCGAAACAACGTTTTAATGATATTTCACATCGGTTATAACCCATGTAGAAAAGAAATCACATCGGTTATTTTACAACTTATGTAGAAAAGCTTCGATTTTTTCCGAAGCATAGGTTTAACATATCGGTTATAACCCATGTAGAAAAGATTTCACATCGGTCATTTTATCAACCGATGTGAAAAGCTCCATTTTTTTCCAGAACATATGTGTTTCACATCGGTTATAACCCATGTAGAAAAGCAATCACATCGGTTATTTCACACCCGATGTGAAAAGCTTCAACTTTTTCGGTATTTTTCACGAAAAAAATTTGCAATATGACCCCCGTTTATACTATAACCACATCATTAACAGTATCATCAACTACTATAGCACAATTTTTCACCTGTTCACTTGATCCATCTAAAACAATAACACAAGCTATTTTTCAATTCTTCCACAAATGTTAAACAAGTTCAAGTAACAACTTAGTACATAATAATAAGCTAAAATAAAACAATTCTTGCACAAGTCTAGAGTAATAACAC